GAACTATGACATATCGGGCACCCTCCCTTTTGAGATGGCGTGGGCCAGAGTCAGCTCTCCCGAGGAAGAACGCAGCGTTGTTGGGCCCGAATCTGCGCATCCAGACTCTAAAGACGGGTCCTCGCGGGCATAACACAGTATCCGTACAAAATACGTGCCACTTCCATATTGAGACCTGGAGCCATCATCCAGGCTTGTGCCCGGCCAGGAGCAACGGAGGCGAAGCCACGCTGCCACGCTGCCACGCTGCCATGTGCGCGTACCAACCCTCTTTTCTGGGTCTTTCCCGTCCGGACACCGTTCGGGGCGTTGGTGACATTTACACATTGTGCCCACACTTGCGGGGCTTTTCCCAGCGTTTGTCGAAGAAACACTACCGAGTTTCAGAGTGATCGGTTGTGTGCCTGGACTAAACTCCTTTCGGACCACGTTGGTGTACATCAGAAGTCAGGCCGGTGCGAACCTTGACACCGTTGACGGAGATCAAGTACCTTACTTCGTAGGCCCTGAACGCAGAGTGCTATATTCTTTCCATGGTAAGGCTCTGGGAGACTTCGTTCATGTCCTGTCACTCATGTTTCCAGAACTGGTGTACGGAAGTAATGGCTGTAAAGCTGCTTTGCGACAAGGCTCAAGCTAGCTGTATCCTCAACTAGGCTTGAGTCTGTCAACTCGTAACCGAGAGAGATCGCCGCGGCAAGTGGGTAACCCATCGTTGATATTTAGATACCGAACCCGCTATCCGTTCGCGAGGCACTTGACCGTTGACGACACGACGTGGGCTCGGAGTTGATTATAGTGCCGCGGAAGTAGAGCCAAAGACACATTGGGTAAGTGAATCTGCGAGTACCTAGTATCGAACGTAAGTAATCCCAACCGTCTTCAGTTGTTGATGCCGAGGCCACTTCTCCACGAGAAGCCATATAGCGAACAACGACTTCCGAATACTGGCTGAGAATGATACTTAAATCCTTGCACACGCTTCCTTTCTCACGATCTCTGACCACCTTCATTGGCATTGCGCGACTTGGTACGAGTGAGAATGACGACAGCTCCAGCGTAAAGTTCGGCAGAGTTTCTACTTCTTCTGCGCCATGACCCGTCGTCTCGTCCCTCTGGATAACTTTGCTCAAAAATAGCCCTCTGACCAAAGAGAGTGCACGTTTTCGGCACAATCTTTTGAGATAAGGCTTGAGCCGGCACGTTGCGGCAACACTTGACGTGCTCGGTTCGAAACGAAAGCCAGGATACGTGCATTGGTTGGTTGCCAACCAGTCCGAGGCTTACGACTTGGGAGGCGATGATATGCTAGATGGCTTCGTGTTGCCTGTGCTTTGCAGATGGACGCGCAGTAGCGCGACTCCTTGCCGTCAGATCAGTGGGCAGCCGGCAAGCTTCTTGTCTTTTTGTCGGGCCAGGGAGGTAAGTCGAGCGAGTCGAGCTGAGCTCACCGTTGGACGGAGTAAGGGGATCTTCGACTCGGGCTTCCAAACACTCTGGAAGGGTCTAAACGTGCAGAAGAACCGCATAGAGTGCATCGGTAGCGTGCTGGCTGTGTCGCGACTTGTCACATCATGCCAGATCAGTCTGTTGCTCCGTTTTCTGTCGGCAACGCCTAGCCTCGTCTTGCGAGTGCACTTTCTGGTGTTCTGACCACGTCGTGCTCCATAGTACGGGTTGCTTCAGGCTTCATCCCCTCCCTCACCTTTGAGGTAATCCGCTCGTGGTCAGTCACCTGAACTTGCGGAGCGCCTATCGGAGTTCGGAGGTGCCGTCATCACGACATATAACGGCGCACAGCTTGATGCCCGAGCGGCGGGACCACAGACGGCCGTACTGCTGCGGAGGCACTGACCGTCTTGGTATTGCCAATCAACGTATCCCGAGATAGACGACTGGAAAGACGGCCGTTTCTAAGGGGTGTCCGCAAGCTGTGTCATGAGGTAATGCAACGCTTGAAGCTTACATGGGCGGCTGCAAGCAGTGAGCACCCCTGGCGTCGCTCACATTGCAGGCGATACAAAACGTGGCAATCCTAGAAACGACTGTGTTTCAAGAGTCTGGCTGCCTGGCAGTCCAGTAGGCAATGTCCTCGAAAGGTCGAGTTGAATAGGGTATTAATTCAATGCCTTGGCATGGGACACCGACGGAGCCGACTCCCAGCGATATGCCTTTTCGCTTGATGTTTTTGAATCATCTGCAAAAGGCAGAGAACAGACGCTGTCATCGCTATCGGAATAAATTTACTTCATTGGCCTAGGTCGTGTTGGTTGCTGAGTCTTAGTATACCGCTTGCGAATACGAATCGTGACACGGACGAAGACACCACTGATAGATTTGGGATATGTATTCCCTTTTTGGTACAACCGATGCGCCCAAGCTGGTGGCCGCTATTGATGAACGACTTGTTGGTTGTCGCGAATCCACAAAGACGGCACTTGTGAAGGTAACCTGATGGCGAGGCGTGCATGGCTGACTCTGCGATCCCAGACGGCTCATCCAGAATGGTGCTTGGCAGGTATGGCTTCCCAATAGCTTGAGCAATGTCAATGTCAAACAGACGTGCGCTGCCCAAATCGACACTACAGGAGAACCGGACTCCGATCTGTGCGCAGCGACTGGCGGATGAGACTGGCAAGCGGCAAGCCGTTGGCCTTGTTCGTTGTCGGTCGACTAAGGCTGTCGACGCAACTAGGCCGCAAGCAGCCACGGGCCTTTGGACCTCTTTGGTGGTAGAAGACCGCTTGAGGTAATTGCAGTGCTGAGGGATAATGGATAGAGCAAGGAGGCAGACTGAAGAATGTATCGGTTTCAATCGCCAGAGCCAAAATGAGGCCTAACCGGCACTGTACCTACGGCATCCATGCACCAGGGTAGACACGCACGCCGTATCCGTAGAGGCCGACATGAGCGACATGGTAATCAAAGAGAGTTGAGCAACAAGATGAGGGTATTCCGATATGTCGTGTTGAATATGGCAAGGTAAGGTAGCGGATGGCCAACACGAGGCGGTGACTAGCGCCGCAAATGATGTTAGTGTTTAGTTGGAGCAAGGTAAGCCGCAAATGAAGTGTGATGCGGTGTCAGGCCATTGGGAGAGAGAACCAACCCAAGAAGGCCAGGGCATTCAGGAATCAGCATTCAGCACAGCCCGAGGCCCCCCACAGCGAACTGCCCAACGTTCTCACCCGGTGCCTGTCGGGATTGACACCAACAGACCAATTGGCAAGCTGGCAACTGCGACCGGAGCGCCTTCTCTCCCTGTCGTGCCGCGTCGTACCCCCCATTCTTGCCTCCAAGCTCTCCGCCGGGTGTCGAGACTCGAATGGAAGGCGATGCCTGTCACCAGTTACCACCACCCCGGCCCTCTTGCCTTCCTCCGCCAGGTCCCGTTCAGGGTCGGATCCACACCGGGTCATGGCTCCTTCCTGCCAGTGACAGATTTCCCGAGTCACCCCTCTGGCTGTGTTCTCCGTACTTACTCTTCTCCCATCCACTCAGAGGCAGCGGAAATACGCCTCTTTTCGGACGTCTCTCACCACTGTCTGAGGTAACACCTGGTGACTCCACAGAGTCTCCTCTCTTTTCCTTGCAGGCAGGAACTCGACGAAAGCAAGCGCCGTGCCTTTCCTCTGAGGTTGGTAGGGTCTTCCCCCTCACCTCGGGCACTCTGTAGGGGAATTGTGAGTAGGTAGTTTGCAACTTTGTACCCATCAAACAATCCTTGGCCAAGGTACGAACTTCTATCTTCCTTTCTTTCTTTCTTTCCCCTCAGTCATTCTGCCCGTTGTTGAAGGTATGTTCAATACCTAGTGATTGAAACTTCCTTCACATCCAGCATTTTTCAGCCACCTGGCCGTTCTTATACAAGAACACAATAGGGAACAACTCAGAGCAAGTCAAGCCAAAGCCAGTATCTTTGATTCAATCGTCCCCCATCTTGCAACGCCCATCCCATAGTTGCATCATCCTCCTTTTACACGCCCCAGTCTCTCCAACACGGGCTACTTTCACCTTGTAGCCATACTGTACTTATCTCAAGGAGCCTTACCTCACCTTACCTTACCCCCCTTCTTCCCTACCTTCACTCTCACACACCCTCTCTCTCTCTCTCTCTCTCTCTCTCTCTCTCTCTCTCACTCAGGTACCATCTCAACCCCTCCTTTCATTCACTCACACACAGTCACTCACTCTCTCACCCTTCATATCCCTCTTCCTCTCTACACTACTTTGCGCACTTTCATCACCCGCCCGCACCTTAGGTTATGTTAGGTTAGGTGATCTATCTCTATTCCCCCAATCGCCCATCTACCTTACTACAGATTTCCATTCCTTAGCCTGTCTCCTCCATCTGGCACTTACCCCCTTCCACCTCCTCATAGGTATCCCCGACAGATGCGTGATCCATCTGGTCCCAGTGCGCGCACCGAAACAGTTGGCCCTCCTGCGGCAGAGAACGAATCAGGATAGGGACCGTTTCTGGGCCTCCTTGCCCGTCCCATCTCAACCTATCCCATCTCATCCCGATCCTGATTCTGATCCTGTCCTGTGCCCTGTGTGTGCCTGTCTCCCCCGTCGCACTACTCTCTCTCCTCGCCGCACCAGTACATACACACAGTCTCTCTACGGGTACCACTACGAACACTTCATACAGCTTGAGCCCTGAGGTAGCCCATGCAGGCCTGGTGCTCTCTCTCTGGAGTCTGCCTCACCTCATCTACCTCACCTCACGGATACCGGTACACCACCTTACTTACCCTGGGCTGTTGGATTCGTACCGTACGGATCCCCAAGCTGGGTGGCCCTGACCTGATTGAGGAGCTCCTACGCTGCCTCTCTGCCACTACCCATCAACCGCCCGCCCACCACCGCCTTGTCTGTGTCGCCGCGCCCTCTGGGTATCATCCTTGACCGGGCCCCCAAAATCTCCTATTTCATTCAGCTACCCGGGGAATTAAAAAAAAAAAAAAAAGAGAGAGGCACATTATTAATTTCCTACCATGGGTCGGAAGCATGCACCACAGCCGCTGACGCTGTCTGAATCTCAAGCCTCCTCCGACCAGCCTGAAGACGTGCCACGCTCTGCTGAAACCCTCGCCTCTGCCGTTCCTCCAAGCGCTGGCTCTAAATCGCAATCCTCTCCCAGATCTCCGCGCTCTCCCTTTAGGTTCACTCCGAAAAGGCCCAGCGCAAGTGGCAAGCAGTCTCTTCAGTTGACCGACGAGCATCGAAACTTTCAAGACCAAGACGACGACGACGACGACCTCGAGCAGTATCAAGCCATCTCCTCCGCCCTCCATCGCGCCTCCGAAGACACGCCCCCTCGCCAGCATCATCAGCACAACCCAATCAGCCCTCGTCAACAACAGCACCGCCCCAACGAGCCATCCCGAAGACCCTCCAAGGCCGCCGGCTTCTTCTTCAATTTCACAAAGTCTGCCAACAAATCGTCCCATTCTCTCGTCTCCCCCGCGCAGTCGCCCTCACACCCTCAGCGCCAGCACCAGCAACATCAACAGAGCCCGATCCAGTACCCTGACTCGAGAGGCGAAAGTATGTCGAGGGGTCCCGACAATGCTCCTCCCATGAGCAGCCAACCCACCCAACCTTTAGGTACGAGGATAACTTTCCTTCTTGAGACCGCAGTGTCCACTGCCTGTGCAGCTGGGGCCCACTACCTGATCCATCCCCCGTTTCGCCTATCGTGAGACCATTTCTTCAGTCGCTGACCCGTATGCCATTTCACCAGCAGATCCGTCCTATGCTGAACACTCCGTCCAAAAGCCCGCACCCACCCTGCCGTCCCGCTCCGACGTGTCTTTAGCCTCTGCTGCCGACTACGATACTTCTCCCGCCCAACCCTCCTCGTCTAAGAAGTCCAAATCGAAGCCATTTGGTCTTCTGAGCCGCAGCAAGTCGCTTCGCGACAAAGACGGCTCAAGCTCTCGAGACAAGCAACCTAGCCCGGTGCCCGTAACAATTGTCGAACCCGAACCGTCGCATACCTCGACGAGCCGTAACCACTCGCTCAACAACGCCAGCACTGGACCCGAAAGGTCTGCCAGAGAGATGGTGAACTCTACCGGGCGGAATCGCTCGGAAGACCGCGCGTCGCCCCGGGAAATGAGCCACAGGGACAACCATAGGGAGAAAGACCACCATCCTCGGCAAAACTCGTCTTCACAAAATGGTGGCTTTTTCGGAGGACTGAAGAGTGGCAGAGACATTATCAGCAACCGGTTATTCGGCAAGGGTGGCCGTAGTGGAAGCACGACAGAGAGGGAGCCTGTCATCGACGATGAGCACTATACGCTCAAGACAATCAATCTGCCTCTCGTCGAGCAGACGCGTCGCACGCGCATCTCGAAGCGCTTGGAGGATTCAAGAGACAAGACAGAGTTTTGGATGCCCGCATTCCCATGGCGCGCGATCGACTACTTGAACTATAAGGGCTGTGATGTGGAAGGCTTGTACCGTGTGCCTGGCAGCGGACCGCAAATCAAGAAATGGCAGAGGAAGTTTGACGAAGGTTTGTTCATTATAAATGCGCACGCAAAGCTAGTGCCTAGCTAACCGTCTCTCTCTAGAGTACGATGTAAACCTCTTCGAGCAGCCGGACCTCTACGATATCAATATTATAGGCTCCATGCTCAAGGCTTGGCTAAGAGAGCTTCCCGATGAGCTATTTCCGAAGGCGGCTCAGGAACGAGTTGCGAGAGAATGCGCCGGTTACGAAACTGTGCCCCCACTATTGGTCGAAGAGCTGTCGAACCTCTCGCCATTCAACTACTACCTTCTTTTCGCAATCACCTGCCACCTCAGTTTGCTCCTGGCGCACTCCGACAAGAACAAGATGGACTTCAGGAACCTCTGCATTTGCTTCCAGCCATGCATGAAGATTGACGCATTCTGTTTCAGATTCTTGGTCTGTGACTGGCGCGACTGCTGGAAGGGCTGCAAGAACGAGGCAAAGTTCATTGAGCAGGAATATCAACTGTTCGATCAGCCACCCCCAAAAGGCCTCTCGGAACCGCGCAAGCCCTCTCGTGAGACGAGCGAGGAGCCTGCAGCCCCCGTAGCGCAGGAAGAGCACACTCCTACTACATTGGACGACCGGGCGGGATCGTCTTCGGAAAGCAGTAAGCAGTCCAGCGCTGTCACCGAGCAGCAGACCAAGGAGAAAGACAGACGGCTAAAAAAAAAGCCCCTCCAACTTTCTGAGTCAAACGGCAGCGTCGCATCCAACTCGACAATGGGTACGACGCTGACGATTGACAGTGGCCGTGAGCCGCGGGGCTCGAATGACTTGCGGCCCTTGTCACCCATCAAACCTCTTTCACCACTCGGTTTCTAAAACACCATTTTGAGTCTCCTTTAGTTTCTTTCTTCCTCGAATACCCAGGCGGAACTCGTGTGTATAGGGAACACTTCAGCATCACCAACAACAACATCACTGACGACATCACGCCACTGACGACTTCCGTTCTTCCTCCTCCGAGCGTCTCTCCCAGCCCCGGTCCTGTGCCAAGCCTACATCGGATGCCACCAAAAGTCATGGCATGAACGGATGACTTTGAACCACAGACCGGGTGCCTCTTCATTTGCGACACAGCATTATGCTATTTGGTATACCCCCAGGGCATCGAACCGTATCACAAAAGCCGTCGATTTTACTGTTTTCAGGAAACTGCAATGGCCGAGCTCTCATCGACATGCAGGTTCTTGTCAACCAGAGCTACATTAAGAGTGGCAATCACCAGTAGTAGCTCTAGGTTTGGGTACCTAATTTTTTCTTCCTTCATTTGCTTTGGTGAGGTGCCGCGGATATAGCGTGGTTTGGTCTTTAGTAGCATCGTAGGAATTGGGCGAGCGAGGAGCATTCACGAGATGCTAAATGGGGGACGGGCGACGATTCATAGGGCCACGAACAACATGACTGCAGGGGTTGGTGGAATCTCTGTACAATATAGGACTCTTGTATGTAGGACAAAGGGGATGCGCGCGGCGACAGCCACGTCATATGCTCCCCCATTTTGCAAAATAAAATCGGAGGGCGAGTTCACAGCAAAACTGACGGCTCGTGGTAACGTGAGTTGTAGCGGGCCGAATCGTGGGCCACAAAGCGCTTCCATTTGCTTTTGAGATACCAGTGCCCTCTTCCTTTGGACAAAAAGATGCCAAGAATGATTTTTACCACCATATGAACGCCGTAACCATGTGCCGAAACCCGAAGCATTACATATTCCGCATCCCAAGCCTTTCCTCTCACTCCTCTGCTTTACCGCTTCTCCCGCTTCTCGCCGGCCTCGCGCTGGTTCTTTCTCATTTTTCTCTCGTTGCGCTTGATCCTCTCCTTTCTTTCCCTCCGCTTGTCGCCCTGCCAGGTGGTGCCCTCCTTGCGCTTCGCCTCCTCCTTGGGATCGACCTCGACGAGCCAGTCGTCCTCGCCCTTCTTGTTCATGCCCTTGTACCCCCACTTGGCGCGCCACTCCTTGGTGTCCTCGTCAAAGACGAGGTTGCGGCGCTGCTCGCGCGTCTTGGGCTTGATGCCGCGCTTGGCGGCGAAGCGCTCCCATTTGGTGGGCTCCTTGGCCACCGGCACGGGCTTCTCGCGCGGGAGAGGGGTCGAGGGGTCCGGGAGGGAGAGGAGGACGCCCTCGGGGGTGCTCTGGAGGGGGCAGGTGGTGAGGAGCTGGTTGATGAGGGCCTGGGCGCCGTCGCGGGCGGTGGCGGCGAGGGAGTCTTCGATGGCGGACTTGTCGAGCTCGAGGGGGTTGGGGTCGTTGGCCAGGAGCAGGCCGAGGTCGAAGTTGTAGGGCGTCGGCTTGTTCACTGCGACGGGCAGCTTGGGGCGCGAGATGGGGAGCGCCATTTTTTGTGTGTGTTGTGTCGCAAAATCGGGATGAAATTCTTTCAGTGTTTTGCGCTTGGTTCCCTCCTTCGAATGGGTTAAACGTGGTAGTTGTCTTGTCCGGGCGGTTGCGCAATTAGGTAGGGTGGGATACTCTAGAACTTTTTTTTCCTTTGGCTGGCTGGGTTTAGGAAATTTCGACGGGCGATAGCGATAAGAATCGGAACAACTGACACCGCCACGCCGGGGATTGATGCAGCCAATCAACACTGCAAATTGGCCGCTACACCTTGTTCCCCCGTTCGTTGTGTGCTACCAGGGGGTGTGGCTTTAACGTCCCGAGAATTTACCATCGAATTTTTTGGGGAGAGCTTTCCAATCGCACGACGAAGCAGCAAGACTCCAAGGGCGAAGCTGCGTCGGACGGAAAACGAAAACGCTAGCCGGCACCCATTCGAATGGCATCAAAATAAACCAGAGCGGATACCCACCCTACCAATAATCCACCCAGGAAACCGGCGTCCTTTCCTTCCACCGGCAATCGCACACAATGGCCTCCGCAGCGAACTGCGCGCGGTGCCTCACCAGGCCCACGATCGCCGCAGCAACAGCCCCCCGAATCCTCTCGCAGCGCATCGTCCCCGTTATCACCGCATATGCCGGCGCCTCTGCGGCCCTCTTTTCGACATCATCGGCCGACGCCGCCCCGCGCACCCTCAAGATGATCGGAAAGCACATCCGTCGCGGCAAGATCAACCAGAACTCCAAGAAGAAGAGGGACAACGTCAGGGTCAAGAAGCCGGCTCCTGGCGAGAGAAAGGCGTTCCGCAAGCGCATCACGCTGAGCAACAACAACGCCCTGGCCGTCGAGGGCCTCAAGGAGATCACCAACGAGACGCTCGCCGCGGCGGAGAGCAAGGGGTCCGTCGTCGGCCTGCCGGATAAGCTGGTCGACCAGCTCCGGACGCTCGAGGCGTTCAAGACGACGCAGAACTGGGGCCTGTTCAGGAGACCGCATATGCTGGTTAGGGAGGAGACTGTCAAGCTCGCGAGCCGGCTGGATGCTGCCGTCAAGGAGAAGCAGACGTTGAGATTGGCGTTGACGGGCGGCAAGATTGCAGGAAAGAGCATGCTATTGCTGCAGGCCATGGCTCACTCACTGATGAACAACTGGGTGGTCATTAACATCCCCGAAGGTACTTACCCTCTCCTCCAACAACTCGAGGACTTCTTGAAAAGCGTCCGTCACTAACCAAGTAAACCAGGCCAAGATCTCACCAACTCCAACGCGGATTACAGCCCCGTGCCCAACACCAAGCCCCTCCAGTTCTACCAGCCCACCTACACCTTCAACCTCCTCCAGACCATCGTCAAGACCAGCGGCCCCGTTCTGGAGCAGTACAAGATCTCAAAGGAGTACCCCGAGCTCCTCCACGTCCCCAAGGACGGCACCCTCCTCGACATCGCCACTGCCGCAAAGGAGCCCGAGTTCGCCTGGCCCGCCTTCCAGACCCTCTGGCACGAGCTCACCACCAACCCCACGGGCCCCCCCGTCCTCCTCGCCCTCGACGGCCTCTCCCACATCATGAAGATCTCGGCCTACCGCGACCCGGCCTACAACCTCGTCCACGCCCACGACCTCACCCTCGTCCGCCTCTTCGCCGACGCCCTCGCCGGCAAGACCCCGCTCGCCAACGGCGGCGCCGTCATCGCCGCCACCTCGCGCAGCAACGCGCCCCGCTCCCCGTCCATGGAGCTCGCCCTCGCGCAGTCCGCCGCCGCCGCCGCGGACCAGTTCGTCCCCACGCCCGACCCTTACCTCAAGGGCTACGACGACCGCGTCTACGAGGCCGTCCGCGGCGTCGAGACCCTTGACGTCAGCGGCATCAGCCGCCAGGAGGCCCGCGCCGTCATGGAGTACTGGGCCGCCAGCGGCCTCATGCGCTCGCGCATCGACGAGTCGTCCGTCGCGGAGAAGTGGACTCTTGCTGGCGGTGGTGTCCTCGGCGAGCTGGAGCGGGCTAGCTTGCTCAACACGCGCGTGTTGCAGTACTAAAAACGAGATTCTTTGTTCTGTCCAAGGGGAGCAGTCTGAGGGGAAGAGAGGAAACTGGTGTAAAGAGAGAGAACGTGTATCCATGTACTAGTGTACCAAGAGATGCCTGCCTGTAGAAGGGGGGGATAACAAAATTTTGTATTATACAACCATATCATCCAAAGTTCATGGGAATTCCAATCTATCACAACAATGTTTGCAATACCAGAGAAAGTGCGAAATCAAGCCAGTATCAGTCCCATGTGGAAACGAGAGACACATGTGATGCTGATTGTTCATTATCTTTTGTTTTCATTTCGTACGGGACTGGACAGCTAGTCCACTCGAGAGTGCTCCGCCAGAATGTCTCTCCTTTACGCTCTTCTTCTTCTTCTTCAATCATGTGAAACCAAACGCCAAGTCCCAAATGCTTCTTTTTTACGAAGCAAGCTATGAGAAAACAACACAAGATTTGAGCTAACCACCGCCGCGCGACAAGACTACTGCCCCCACATGCCCACTCAAAATTCTCATTCGTCCCTCTCTGCGCCGTTGGAGGTGATGAAGACCAGCCTCGTACCATTTCCAGCCGTTTGCCAGACCTATGTGATACATTGTTAGCATTGTTTCCAAAAATGAAAGGGGATAATAATAATTGGCGCAAGAAACTTACATCAAGCTCATTGTACTCCTCCAGAGCCGCAAGCCACTGGTCCTCAGTGAACCCCTTTGCAATGACACGCTCCTTGACCTTGCGAAGACTGAGCTCGACACCGAGCTCCTCGTCGTCATCCTCGGCGTCGTCGGCGCGGCAGGCGCCGCTGTCGGCAAGAGTCTTGACGAGGTTGTAGATCCTGCTACTGGCGTTGAGGCGCTGGCGTCCGTTGGCGGCCTGCTCGGCCGCGAGACTCTCCTTGGAGGCCTCGACGAGGCGCAGGGCTTCGTCGACGTCGTCGTGGGTGACCTCGTTGCTGAAGCGCAGGCGAGCGAGAGCCTGCGCGAGACGGACAACACCGAGGAGGGTACGTGGGGTGGTGTGGGTGAATTGCTCGCCCTTCTTCTCGGCGCGCTTTTGCTGGCCACGCATGCGAACATACGTCTTGCCAATGTACTCGGAGACGGAGGCGGGGACGACGGGTCGGTACGTGCGGGCCTGAGCGACGTAGGAGCGGACTTCGTGGGGAGAGAAGACAACCGAGTCGGTGCCGATGTCCGGGTGGCGCTGGTGCATGTGGACGTAGGTGACGTGCTTGGCGAGCTGGGCATCGGATTCGCGTGTCGGTGAGTCGAGGAGAAGGAAGATGATATCGAAACGAGACAGAAGGGCGGCGGGAAGGTTAATGTTCTCAACGGGGGAGATGCGGGGGTTGTAGCGGCCGTAGATAGGGTTAGCGGCGGCGAGAATCGAGGTGCGGGCGTTGAGGGTGGTGGAGATGCCGGCCTTGGAGATGGAGATGGTCTGCTGTTCCATGACCTCGTGGATGGCGGTGCGGTCGTTGTCATCCATCTTGTCGAATTCATCGATACAGCAGATACCGTTGTCGGCCAGGACGAGGGCACCGCCTTCAAGGACCATCTCATCAGTGACAGGGTCTCGCATAACAGCAGCCGTCAAACCGACACCACTTGAACCACGACCAGAGGTGTAGACACCACGAGGGGCGACCTTTGAGATGTACTTGAGCAATTGCGACTTGGCCACACCAGGGTCACCCATGAGGCAAATGTTCAGGTCACCACGAATCTTCATGCCGTCCTTGACCTCCTTTGTCACACCACCAATGAGTAGAAGAAGGAGAGCCTTCTTGACGTCAAGGTGACCGAAGATTTCGGGGGCGATGGACTTGGCGAGAAGTTCGTAGACTTGGCCAGACTGTCTGTACTGGTCGATGCGACGAACCAGAGCAGGGTCGACAATCATCTCAGAGTAGGCCTTCTTGTGCTGAACGATATGGTGTGCCTCCACGTAAGTATCGGTCAAGAGACCGGCCTTCATTGCCTTGAAGCCGGTGTAGGGTGTGGGGAGGAAGATGCCAGAAATGTCGACAACGTCACCGGGGTTCACCTTGCGAACGGAGGTGCCGTAACACAAAACGGTCAGAGTTCTAGGGATCTGGCCAATGGGCACCTGTTCAGCCAGCTCCTGGACCTTGACCTCCTGGAATGGCAAAAACTTTGATGCTCTTGAAGAAGGGTGCAGTTGGCCCTTGGCTTGATTTGTCTTACAGTCCTCGGACGGGCATACGGTCAGGGGACCATATGACTTGTCGTTAACGGGCTGGAAGATTTCACAACCGCAGCGATCGCACGTGTATGCGCTGACTTGTACGATGGGCTTGACGTCGGAAACTCGTGTGGCAATGGCTCGGATGGTGATGAGATGGCCCAATTGCTCGCCCTTGACCTCTCGGACGGCGAGTGCCTTGGCGGGGTGGGAGGGAGTCTCGGATCGGGGCTTGAAAGCGAGGGTATACCGGCGCGTGAGCTCGGCGGGGAACTTGTCCTCGGCAATGCTGGGGTCGGGCAGCTGGCCGTCAACAGGCTCAGTAGCCTGCCTTTGCAGGATGTCGTTTCTCTGTTTTCTCCGCTCCATGAGAACATCCAGCACATCATCCTTGAAACTATAGATTGTTAGCCATGTTGCCCCTGGGCGACAGGTGACGGGGAAACGTACGTGACATCTTCGCTGGGTTGAGGCATAAGCTTGTCGACCGCTCTGGACATAAGCTCGACATAGTGTTTGGTGTTGATCTCGATAGAGTTTACAAGCTGGAGTTCATCGCCGAGGGATGATTCGAACTGCGGAAGTCAGTCTCAATCCATGGGCTTCATATGGAGAGCCAGTGCAACTCACACTCGCCAAGTCGTCCAGGTCAATCAAGACCTCATCAATTTTGCGGTCTGCCAGCTTCTGCATCATGACCTTGTATTTTGGGCCAGGCGGACTCCTGGCCTGGCGACGGGTGCCGCGTGTCTCGTCATCCTCCATCACCTCATCGTCGCTAAAGTCATCCTCGTCTATCGTGATATTTCCCAGGGCATGCGAAATCGTTTGCTCGGGGGACGCCTTGAAGTCTGTGAGGAAGGATTCAAGTGCATCTATTGCAGGTCAGCACGGTCATGTTGGCGGTGCGCGAGCAGCCAAGATCATCAAAGGGTTGAGCATACTCTGCTGCGCTTCGTACGCTACTGGCGCCTTGAACTGACGGAGCGCCATCTTGACAGAATCTGTGCGATCTCGGCTGTGGGGTTGGTTTCCTTCAGTCTTGCGGTACGAATCGTGTGTTCGACAGCAATGATGCGGTGATGAGATTGCTTCGCTTGGTCTCTGCGACAACCGCGGGGAGTGTGGACTGTGTGGTTCTGCTACTATCGGATTGAAGATTATTTGGCGCCGGGTGGGGGGCTGGGAAGAATCGAATGTGAGATCAATGCGACCAGGGGTTCAGAAATTGGCCGGGCGACACGCAGGAAACGCGTCGCGGTCAGGAAAGGGGGACGCGTTGAGCCACAGGGTTTAATTGATTTCTAGCCACACATTGCAGGTACCTGACTGTCGTACTTTTAGCTGCTTCCTGAGGCGCAAGCTGAGGTGTTTGGATGCACCTGCAGTAATCTCAGAGTACGTACCGCCTGCAGCTACCCCGTGTTCGGACCCAATGGGGGTGGAGGTGGCTTTCCCATGCCGGGAATGCCTCGGCGTCGGCACATGCCAGGGTCACTTTCGGCTGAACTCCCATCTCCAGCTCCAATAGCTCCAGCTCCGGTGACTCTCCGCAACGATATCTGTAGTCATTGCCTAGTGCTCTCGTCGCAGAGTCTGTCGCTCTCTTCCTCTGCCTCTTCACATGGACCTCTAGACACTCAATTGCAGCAGTCATGTCGTCCCGGCGCAATGCGCAGTCGACTTCGGCGGAGATCTCCCTCGCCCACCTCAAGAACTGTCTTGTCAATCTCCCCGCATCGCTGGTCTCACTCCTCGTGAACGTCAACACAGTAGGTCTCTAGTCACCCATTGTCAATGGGTCTTCTTCTGATAGAATCTCCTACAGCCTGCACAAAATGTCGTTGTTGAACTCAGTTACCGACCCCCTGCGGGCACCTCCGGGTCCGGCGCATCACAACAAAGATCCGTCTTCGTCGGATGGACGGGCATGCCGAGTAAGCGCAAGGTTGCACCCATAGTCGGGCGCGATGGCATCAATGGAGGTAGACCAGGCGCTTCGGGGCGCGACCAGGAAGTGGCGCAGGTCGAAATCGACGCGACGTTGGCCAACACCCTTGGCCTTACCGACGGACAAAAGGTGACGGCTTCAATACACGTCGATCCGCCCGTTGCGCACACGATCAACATTGAGCCACTGACTCCGGAAGACTGGGAAATGATTGAGCTGCATGCGACCTTCCTCGAACTCAACCTCCTCTCCCAAGTACGAGCTTTGCCGAACCCCGCGTTTACTTCCAGCTCTGGCTCATTGGTCGCTCCTCATGCCTTGACCCTACACCTCTCGCCAACATCGACAGCAAACGTCAAAGTAGTTTCTCTCGATCCCGCCCCTGGCGCCGAAGTCCCTTTTGTCAAAATATCCCCCGACGCTGAAGTTATTGTTGCGCCAAAGGTTCGGGCCAAGACAGCACACTCCCTAGGAGAGAATCGTAGTGTGGCGAGCACTTCCAAGTCCAAGCGCAGCGGCGCAAGCACAGTCAGGCGGCGTAGTGCGCGGGAAGATCGCAAGCCTGCCCTCTGTCTGCGTGGTATCGCCCATTCGGCTTGCGGGGAGTGGTTCGACGAGGACTTGACTACCCAGGATTTCAGCGTTTGGGTAGACCGCGACATTCTATACACTAAAGACTTCCGAGGGGTGAACTATGTTTCGGTCAATATTCTGCGACCTACACCACAAGCAAGTTCTACCCAGAAACCGCAAGATGCCGAACAATCAGCAAGCACATCGAAAGTAGCTACAAAGGTTGTCGCACATCTACGCGCTTGGGACGATCCACCCGACAGCAAGACTACTGCCCTGTCCCCGGCTTTGTGTGCAACTTTGGGCTTTACAGGATCCGTTGGAGGGATTGTCAAGATCGAGCCGGCGCCGCAACAATGGCCGCTGGATGCTGTTACAAAGTTGATAGTCCAACCATTTGCCGCTTCCAAAAGGTCTTCGGATGGCTTGAAGTTCGGGGGCGAGTCCAAGGCCGGTAAAGAGGAGGCAGCCAAGCAATTTAGGCAATTGTACGCTCGCAAGGACGTCGCCCCTCTTATCACTGGACCTTTGACAGATGGATCAGTAATTGGCCTTTTCGAAGGCCTCGAGGCTCCTCAAGGATGGGAAGGAGGAGTAATCAAGTTCGATCCGCCAGCCATTAACAGTGATCCGCTCAGATCATCAACGAGATGGGTCTTGGGCCTAAGCGAGAAAATCCCCGTCGATATTCGAGACCCAGTTCCTCGACCGTCATGGATGAACGATGACAGCATCGCCGAGTTACAGCCGTCCTATGACGGACAGCTAGTAGGCATTGATAAGCTCCTTCAAGACCTTCGAAGCCACCTTTCGCACCTTTCCTCGACTCTCCTGACTGGTGCTATGGGTTCTGGCAAGACCGCAGTTGCCAGGTCTCTGGCGCAGGAACTTGGGAGAGATCTTTTATTCCATACGACTTACTTCCCATGCCGGAAGCTCGTCAATGACGAGACTCGAATTGCCACCATAAAGGATACCCTGACCCAAGTATTTATGTCAGCCAGCTGGGGTGCTAGGCTAGGAGGCAAGGCACTCGTAGTTTTGGACGATCTCGACAAGCTGTGCCCTGTGGAAACCGAATTACAAGTGGGCAATGACAACGGTCGAAGCCGCCAGATTAGCGAAATCATTGGTTCCATGGTACGCCAGTACTGCAATGTGGATACTGGAGTAGTCCTTTTGGCTGTTGCGGAGGGTAAAGATTCTTTGAACAGTGTCATCATTGGGGGCCATGTCGTCCGCGAAATTGTTGATTTGAAGGCGCCGAATAAGGAAGCGAGACGAAAGGTCATGGAAAGCATTGTCAGAAGAGATGCTATCTCCGCGGAGGACTTTCCACGGCCACCGCAGAACGGTAGCCGTCCACCCACGGCTGACGGAAGCGCCGGAGGGGAGGATAGCGCATGGATGGATGCCGGCAGCCAAGGCAGCCGCGAGAACCACAATGGCACCAGTGGAGGGTTCGTCATCAGCCCCGACTTGGATTTCTTGGACGTTGCTGGTCTCATCGATGGCTACATGCCAGGAGACATCACCTTACTTGTGGCGAGAGCAAGGAATGAAGCCATTATCAGGTCTGTCAACGATACGGATAGCGAGGGAGGTGCGGTACATCTGAGTCGCGTCGACTTCGACAATGCTCTCAAGGGGTTCACGCCTGCCTCGCTGAGAAGTGTGTCTCTGCAACACTCAACCACCACATTCAGCTCCATCGGCGGTCTGCAAGAAACTCGCAAGGTTCTCCTGGAGACTTTGCAGTACCCAACGAAGTACGCACCAATCTTTGAGCAGTGCCCCCTGCGATTACGGTCCGGCCTGCTGTTGTATGGATACCCAGGTTGTGGCAAGACCCTACTTGCAAGCGCCGTTGCTGGAGAATGCGGCCTGAACTTCATCAGCGTCAAGGGACCTGAGATCCTCAACAAGTACATCGGAGCGTCTGAAAAGAGTGTCCGCGATCTCTTTGAACGCGCGTCGGCTGCGATGCCGTGTGTTTTATTCTTTGATGAGTTTGACTCTATAGCCCCCAAGCGTGGCCACGACTCTACTGGTGTCACAGACAGAGTAGTGAACCAGCTTCTTACGCAGATGGACGGAGCGGAAGGTCTTTCCGGTGTCTACGTGCTGGCAGCAACATCCAGGCCAGACTTGATCGACCCTGCTCTTCTCCGTCCAGGACGACTGGACAAATCTTTGCTCTGCGACATGCCGCTGCTGGAAGACAGAGTCGACATTCTAAAATCCCTTTCCAGCAAGGTCAAGCTCGGCGAGGAGTTGACAGAGTCCGATGACGCGTGGACTGATCTCGCACGGAGAACCGAAGGCTTTTCCGGTGCTGATCTCCAGGCTCTTGTGTCCAACTCGCAGTTAGAGGCGATCCATGATGTTCTAGACGATGTCAGTCACGCCCCCACAACGAACGGCAAGGTCAATGGCAAGTCGTCTTCCCAAGGCTCTGTCCCCAGCTTCGTACAGTTCCGTTACGGTCAAGACGCTGCACCTGCCGCGAAGCCGATCAGCCGGCAGCAAGAACTCGTGGAAAACGCCGCAATCCTCGCTAAATTGGAGAGCATCAAACTTGCCCGTAAGAGGGTCAAGCAATCTCAACGCCCAGAAGGGGATGGCAAACCGGTCAACGACAAGGAGGTCGTGGTCAAGCTGGAGCACTTAATGAAGGCCCTGGAAAACACCAGATCGAGTATCAGCACGCAAGAGCGGGCCAGACTGCAGAGAATCTACCGGGAATTTGTTGTCGGTCGAAGTGGTGAGATGAAGGATGGCCAGGGAAGCATGGAAATTGGTGGGCGAAGCAGTTTGATGTGAGATATCAAGAAAGTCACATTACCGTACAATTGAAAGTACACCTCTCAAAATCAGACACTGTTCACAAGTGAATCTATCTGTGCTACATATCCACGTCTGCCGTCTACCGCGAGTTGCTTCTGTGCATTACTTATGGACATATCATCTTTCTTACACTAGCTCGTCTTTGAAACAAAATCAAGCCGCCTTTCCTTGCAGAATCTTCTTGTGGAAATCCTTCCAATTCGTCTCGCACTGCGACTTGACAACCCCAGCCAAGAGCCTCGAGCACCGAATCTCAACAACCTCCTCCAGCTCCAACGCGCCCTCACCCTCCGCCCCCTCGGCATCCTTTACGCGCCAGCGCGTCTCGAGCAGCACGCTGAGAGGGCAGCTCGTGCGGACGAAGCTGCCGTCTTTCGTAAACGTGAAATCGTAGTCGCTGACGGCGTCGCCGCTCCAGATGGCCTTGGGCAGCATCGAGGGCACGCTGTCGGTGACGGAGAAGCACTGCGTCGCGGCGACGGGGTCAATGTCTTTCGGGACGGTGGGCGGGATGGCGGGCGTGCGGGCCGTGTAGTCCTTCATGTTGGGGTCGCATTTGATGTGGTGCTCCGCGTCGTGGATGAGGGCTAGGGCGTCTTCGCGAGAGAGGGTTGAGGGGATGGGGGAGGTGTGTGTTACGGTTACTGTGGTGTTCAACATTTTTGCGAGGTGTTGTGTTTGGTGATGGAGTTTTGATGTCTTGGGGTTGAATGTCAAAATGAATTTGCAGTCTACGATGTCTTGAGATTTAGGTATACTGATGAGGGCGATGAGGTATATTCTGTCAGAATGAGATTGAAGTCTGAATACGCGGTGAAGATGCGTAGTGTGAGAAAGGAACCCGCAGCTGAAATGACAAGGTATATGCCCCAGACAAAGAAACTCAAATTTGAAGACGATGATGCCGCCCTCCCGAGCTTGCCCTCATGCGTCAAATTGAGAGGCCGCTCTCTAGGAGCTGCATGTGATACAGTTGATGTATCAGACGAAGCCTCCCATTTGCGTCCCACGGACCCGAATACGGGCGTTCGGAGAACAGGTGCCCACTGCATGATGGGGTGTTTTCTTTACTTAATCCAGTCTTTTTTTGTTTCCCCCGTATTGTTTCCTCAGGCCAGTCATGGAGCCAGCGCCCGTGAGGATGGTTCCCCGCAGACGCGGGAGATCCGGAATCGGTGGATGAGGACAAAGGATTATGAGCCTAGCGACTCGGGTGTGAGAAGCTAAATTCAACCTCAGGGGAATGCCATTCCCAAATCCCATATGCACAGAAATGCAGCCGGCCCTCAAGTGGCGCCAATGGTTGTGACTACGATCGGTGTTTTTCCAAGTGTCTTGTGTGTCTTGGGCATTATGGGGCTCGGCGGAGCTGCGTAGTCCCACGCGGGACGAACCAGTGGGTCTCGGACCCGGATGCGGATGCGGATACGGGGGATGTAGTAGATTTCTTCATTGAGCGACCTCCGGCATGCTAGTTCATCGCCGTGATACGAATGTCGATGAGTTCTTCTATATGATTGTGTCATGTCATCTTTTCATGCCTTCCAGATATCTAAAATGACGAGATGCAGAAGGTTTTCGGGTCGTTTGTCTATTGGAAAGCACACCTCACCATTGGACCGCGGTCTGGTTGGCCTCCTGCAGAATCTTGGAAGAAGGGAGGGATGCAACTGTTGCTGATTCGTTTGTGTCATATCAGAACACCTCATCTCATACATTTTGGTATGCAGCATACATAACCATTAAGTTGCTAAGGTGACTTACTGCACACGCTGGGTTCCGTTCTAGATTACCACTGCTCGCCCATACAAGAAGCCTTGGGCTCCTGCCGTGCGCAAGGCTCTACATTATGGATGCCGCAACTTCAACACTTTTGAGTCATAACGTGCTCGTCAGGTACCGGTCATTGAAGCTAATACCCCCCTCGCGATCGCTTCACAATGAGAAAGCCTTCAAACCACGATGAGTAGGCCCAACGACGCTCAAGCTGACGCTGATGATGCGGCCGTTGCTTGCGCCGAGAACATATCGCTCTTGTTCCTCCTGAACAAGCTCCAGCACATGTCCGAGCCCAACAGACCAGTCCCACAACCGGCCGAAGAAGAGGAGAGAATGCTCCCATTCTGTAGGGAGAGGAGTCTCTGCGGCGCACTCGCGTTCTTGGCCAGCATTGATGGAAATCCGGACTTCATTCCCGCCGTTTACATCGAAGAACTAACAAAGTCCCAACAGCTGGAGGTTGTGGTAGCTGTGAACAAAGAAAGCCCGAGAGATGGTGAGGGCGTTTTGAAGCAAATCAGGCGTGGCTTCGAACAAATCTTTTCGCAGTTGGAGGGCCTCGATGGCAAGTTAGAAATGTGCCTTCTTCGAGCAGAATCAAAAGCTGATTCGATGGTTGATAGACTTCGAGAACCGAGGGTCCGAGATTGAGGATTCGGTTTTTAGAGAAGTTGTGGCGATGTGCTATACGCGGATTCTGAAGCGCATGCGGATCAATATTCCGGAAGAGAGCGGAATTGAAGAAGGTACAGAAGAAGGGAAGCCGAGAGCACATCTTAGGCCAACGAGGCAGCGGCATTCTATCGAAAGGCTACTGACAACGTTCGATGCCTACTTCAAAGACCGACTGCATTTATCTTCTTTGCGAACCTTCAGAGATTCATTGAAAGAGCTCTTGAAAAGAGCTCACAACGTTACGCAATCACTAAGGAAGTGGAAAAGTTACCAGAAGTCACTTGCATTACAGCCATTGGTCGAGGAAGTTTTCCAGCTTTCGCGAGTCGGCCAGTTTGAGCAACTTGTTCACATGATTCCTCATACCACAATGGATCCAGGCTTGAAAACGAGTCTCTGCAACATGATCCCCAAGATCGCGCGCTATAGAGAGATAGCTCGACATATTTATCGGACCGCCAAGAAATACCACATCGCAAGACGTGTGGAAGTAGTGATCGTCAACCTTGCGTCCTCAGAACCAGGGGCTTACGAACGAGTCTCGGAGGGTTCAAGATACCCAGAATTGAACAAGGCTTTGTCAAGGAACGAAATCAAGGCCCTGCCCGACCGGAAACTCAGAAGCATTTGGAAGAATGCACATTCGCCTTCCAAGGACGTCAAGCATGTCTTCGAGAACAAGACTAGCAACACATTGAAGAGCGCAAAGGTTCACGCCGAGGTTCAGCTAATATACCACTATCATCTCAAGAGCCGCCATTCAGACCTTCCTCCTAGAGTCATCCGATCCAGCAAAGACGCGTGCTACCTCTGCAACGCTTTCATTAAAGCCGAGAAGACGTTCTACACGTCCCGGTGCCATGGGAGGCTATACCCGTCATGGAAACTACCGCGAGTCGTCAGCCGCCTCGACCTAGCTCAGAGGTTTAATGAGTTATTGAAGGGCAGAATAATCAGCGCTTATGGTGACTTGGCTGGGTTCAGGGCCAACTGCCCCAAGGCAGATCCAGCGGAGAGCACGATTTCGACGTTGAATTGGTCGGTATCGACAGAAGCAGAGGAGCCATCAGTAACGACCGTTCCAGGTGCGATAAATGTCGTCATCGTGACTACTGAGAAAGAAACAGAGAATCAAGAAGTACCTCAAGATCTCGAAGCACAGAATGATTTTGTTGAAAATAAGAACATGATCCAAGAGGAGCCGCAGGAAGGGAATCAGAACGGCCAACAGGAGTCAACATCAGGGCTGATCGTATCCGACGCCGAAGAGATCCCAAACAAAGGAAGTCAACCAGACGAACCAGTAGAGAGCAGGATACATATTGAACAGAAAGAAGAAGAGAGGGAAACCCTACAGGGACAGGCCGCTGAAGACAGCATAGCCACGACTGTAGTTGGCCAAGATGATGAAGCTCGAACCACAGAGGCCTCTCCGGGCCGGAGAAACGCCGCACCAGTCCAAGAAGACCGTACTCCACGCATAAGTCCTGCCATTCGAATATCCCATGGTACCAGGATTCAGTCTCAAAGTCCCGATCGGCGAAGTAAGCCCAGGAGAAAGCAACGTCCAATTCGGATCAGAACATCATATGCCGTTATCAGAAAGACATACTGTCCTGAGGGAGTATCCATCAAGAATACGGTGTACAGCATTGAGGAGACAGCTGTGTACTCCAATGACGGCGAGATCGAAACCAAAAAGCGGACGTTTCCACTAGCTCGGGAAGGAAACAAGGTCTTACAGGAGCGAATGCTTCCTGCCAGAATTAGGATTATGATGAACATCTTGGCCAATGTATGATGAGCACGGTGATACCTCATTTTCTGTAATTGCAATTTTCATTTGGGTTGAGACTATCTGCGTTGACCTGCGTTGAACGGCTCAAGCAATCCTTGGCTAAGGACTCTTGGCCTACACACTGAAAAAAGTTGGATTCCTAGAGAACAAAAGTCGGGCCATATCCATCCCCTCATTACCATGGCCAAACGAGCTGCATATGAAGCAGCAAAGGTTCTCAAAAAACAAATCCAGTGCCAATTTCCGTTACCTCTCATGATCAAATCTTCCGAATACTCCGACATGTTACAAGTGAGACGAGCTCAAACCTTATAAAGGGCGCAGCTGGTCCATGTGAACCTTGACGACCTTCTCGGTGGTGAAAAGCGCCACGGCACCTTCAGGGCCGTCTTGCTGAGGCGCGATAGCCTTGGCCTTTCCCTTCGAGTTGACTCCATTCTCAGAAAAGAACATGTCCGCGACAGGGGCCTCGCTCTCAGACTGGCCACCGAAGGCCACATTGGGGTGTTCAGCGACGCCAGAGATCTCGGAGGTGTCAAGACCCGTGAGACTCTGCTCGTGAATCCAGCCCTGAGAGTTCGAGATGATGAACTTCTGGTGAATGACCTGAGTCTCCACCACGTCGTGGTACTTCTGCTGCGCAATCCAAGCCTCAAGGTCGTAGAGCATGTAGTAGCGAGCCTGCTGCTGGATCGTCGCATACATGGCATAGTCGAAGCCGTTGCGCGCATCCCAGAAGAGTGGATACATGCCGGTGCGAAGGAAGCGCAAAATGTGAGCAAAGAGATCTCCATCATTGTCGAAGTGGAAGACGCCATCGCGGTACCAATCGCGGAAATTGATGGAGAAGATAAACTTGAACCAGGGGCTTCTCTCGAGGACATCCATAGAGCTAACGAAGCGGCGTCCACCAATCTCCAACTTGATCTGGCCTCTATAAAGAGGTGGCATGCCGAATCCAGCGGGGACAGAAGGTATTTCGGGGAAATCACGGCCGACGAAGTTCCGGTTGGCACCCGGGGGCGAAGGCATAGTGCCTCGAGTGGTTCTAGTGAAGGGAGTGCGAGCAGGCGCAGCATCCGTGCCGAAGTTCACGTTGGTGCTGGGTTCGCCATTGGAGTGGAGCTTGTTACCCACTTCGAAGTCGGTGACGGCGCGGGCTGTGGGAGTGTCGGAATATTGGCTTCCACCCGTGGACGTGGTGCTTCCAGCGATGCTCGCAGCATAGGGGTTAACTCGGGGGTCATCTGAGAGGATCTCAGGATACTGGCGGGACCAAAGCGGGTTGGTGTAGTAGCCGGGATCTTTCTGAGGCTGGAAGAGGGTGGGCTTGCCGTTCTTGACCCAGATCTTAGGCTCAGCACTCTTGTCCCAGACTGTGGGCGAGAGAATAGAATTCGGGGCCGCTTTCATGCCTCCAATACCAGGCTTGATGGTCTTGTCCGAATCGTCCGAAACTCCGCTCTCAATGTCGCTATCGCCAGACTTGATGGAAGAGGCCGCGGCGAAGCGGACCTTCTTCTCACCTGGAGACTTATCGGAGACGTAAGTCTTCAGCGCGCTGAGTAGAGGAGTAGCAGGAGGGGACACTACAGCAGGAGTGAAATCCATAGCTTCGAGCTTTCTAGCAATCTCCTCGTCGGTGTCGGTAATCTTGATCGCAGGACCGGGCTCTGTGTAAGAAGAGAGAGCGCAGGCATGATTGGCATGAGAGTTGCCCTTGAGCTTGCTCTGACTGTGCTTGTTCCGAGGTCCACTATTGTGGATGGTAGGGCCGGAGTATGTAGACGATGGCAGCAAAGGAGCCTGCTGATCATAGCGCTGGTTATACTGGGGAAGCTGAGTAGAAGAAGACGCCTGAGTGCCTGGCTTCGCAACAGCGCTGTTCTTCTTCTCCGGGGATGGACTGTAAGAAGAAGCAGAGAGGAGCACAGCGTCAGCAGAGTCCCTGTCGACAATCTTGAAAGAGCTGGAAGCTCTCTTGTGGCGATGGATAGGCAATTTTGTTATGCGACTCGGAGACGGGTTCGAAATTGCTTCGTCGATGGTCAGTCTAGTACAAGGCTTCACTGCGAGGGTCTTACCTCGGATCTGAGTCTTATTGGCGAAATCGATGGTGTCAATCTTGTCCGCCGAAGCCGCGGCGCCAGACTCATGCGCATCCTTGTCTTCAGTAGTCACAGAACGAGTCGTAACAATGCTAACGACAGAGTCGCGAGTACCATTGTCCTTGCGATCATCCTTGAGAGTAGCGGCAGAGTTCTGAAGATGATTTCTATTCTCACGGCGGTTGCTTGCGGTGGCTTTGGTAGGCGTAGCTTCATCCTGAGGGGCGTTTTTGTCGTCAGCAGCATCGCCAACCTGCTCGGGGCTGTGGCCGAATAGCGCAGATAGACGGCCTCTACGGCTCTTCTTGCGACCGGCAGAGTCAGAGGAGGCAATTTGCTTGCCAGGCAACTTTTTCTTCGACATCGTGGTTGCGAACGAGGGCTTGGGAGCTAGGTGAGGATTTCCGATCTTGACTGGGATGGAGCAAGTCTGCTAGGAGTCAAAACAATGTACGAAAAGGGAAGAAGGAAAACAACGGGAAGGAAAAGGAGAGATATTGTTGCTTCCACTGACCTCGAAAATCTCCCTCGAGTAACGCGGGTCCGACATGTGCTGCTGCTGGAACGCTGGAGCGGCAGATTGAGGATGGACATCATCTGCCGGCGAGGCATCGCATCGCCAAGGCGACACACTGGTACTTACATTCACCACCATCGCTGCTGGAGTGGGCGGTGTCTGTGAGTCGATTGTGAGAGAAAGCTCGTACAAGCATTCAGTCCCAAATAAAGGAAGTAGTAATGCGGAATCGAGTGGTGGCGTCTGTGATGTCTGTGATGACCACGACAATCGCAAAATAGCCTCGAATCTAAACAATGGTCAACGGAAGCCTTTGATGGGGGTTGAATAGACGATGAGTATCTGGGGAGTCTCGTCTCTTACCTCGAACAGGAGAATATGATTCATTTGTGTTAGGGACACAAATCTCAACGATAACGGTGAGAATAGTACACCTGCGGATGAGAAGCTTGAGACCAGCTTTGTCTTATCGGGAGGAAGAATGAAAGGCAACGAACTTGAACTGAGATGCGATGAGGAGGGATAAGTGAAGCGGGAAAATAGAAGAGTAGCGAGCCTTGCAGGAAATATGTCTGCGGGAGGAGAGATGTCGTTGACGGGAGGAAGGTACGGCAAGTCTAGGTCGCTCTTGCCTCCGAAACTTTACTTCCCTTAGCACCTGCCTTACCTTTGCTACACTTGCTCCTTCCCACCAGGTATTCCTCTGCCAGATACGTATTCGACTTATAAGACGGAATAGGAGACAGGAGAAGACTCATTGTCCTCATCCAGTGCGCTCTTCAAGCAGCCACCTACCTTATCCAAGGTCAAATGGTATGGTACCTATGTTGGTATTGCTTTTTAATGTCGATAGATTACCGGAATACCGTCATTGTTTTCTTAGACTCACATCAACTCAAGACCTGTTCCCATTACCAACTTTGAGATGCCTGCCACGTCATGTAGCCGAGATTGACCATGGCAATGGAGGGAGCATATGCAAACAAGTTACCTTACTCCGTAAGAGCCATCGAACTTCCCTTCACTACGTAAGGTACCAATTCTGGTACTAGTCAAAGGTCAAAGAGGGAGTTAAGATTCGTTGGGTGCGCGGTCGCAGTGATCATTGTAAATCTTCAGTGAATGCCATCTTCATTCGCGATAGCCTCATGGTCTGGTCCTTTTGAATAACGAATAGCAACTACCAAGAAAAGAATCTAGCGACACCTGGATGTCACTGACGAGAATTGAATATCAGAAAGACCTAAAACAGCTAGACGCAAAAAGTGTCTCAGCAGACACTCGAGCCGGTATATCAAGCATTGTGATTTCTCGTGATCCTGAACGACAGACCGTCCCGTGGAATTGAGTGATGATCTCGTGAGTCGCGAATAAGGTACATCGGTACTGTCGTCGTGACGTGCAATGCCCCACATAGCTTCTCCAGATTTTTTTTCTTCCAGAACGCATTTGGAGTAGGGGGGTTGGTATTAACGATTCAGGGGGCGTGTACGTAAGCCGCATAGTCTCGGTGTAGATAGAGGGGTCCTCCAAAAAATTATTTTGCATTTCCATCGATCGCAACTTTTCGCAGTCGCAGTCCAGCCATACCACACACAACCATGGCGCCCTCCTCAACACCCAGTCAAGCCGAGCTGGACCGGCGGAGGGTAAGTCAATCCAGTACAACTCGTCTTCGAGGCGCAATTCCTCCATACTGACCGCTCCTCGCAGATAGTCGGTATCAACAAGGAAACTGTCACCGATGTGACTTCGACCGACTACCCGGGCACCTACGCCGGCGAGGACCACGCCTGGGACCTCGACCGTTTCGCCTCCAACTTCCGCGTCCAATTCCACCACAATGCCCAGCACGAAGCCTCCTTCTCCCTCATCGGCGTCGACGCCTCCATCGCAAACGCCTTCCGCCGCACCCTCATCGCCGAAATCCCCACCATCGCCATCGAGAACGTCTACATCGAGAACAACACCTCCGTGATCCAGGACGAGGTCCTCGCTCACCGTCTCGGTCTCATCCCCTTCACCGGAAACCCCGAGGGCCTGCACAAGTTCCTGAAGTGGTACCGCAAGCCCGAACAGGCCGGCAAGGGCTCCTTCGACTACAACACCGTCCAGCTGCGCCTGCGCATCGAGTGCACACGCAACCCGGACGCCGCACCCGGCGAGACGGACCCAGCAAAGGCCTTCCACCACGCGAGCGTCTACGCCAAGGACATTGAGTTCGTCCCCACCGGCCGCCAGGTCGAGTTCTTCTCCGGCGAGGACGCCATCCGCCCCGTCAACCCCGACATCCTCATCGCCAAGCTGCGGCCCGGCCAGTGCATCGAGCTCGACATGCACATGCACAAGGGCATCGGCTCCGACCACGCAAAATTCTCCCCCGTCGCTACCGCCTCGTACCGTCTCATGCCCACCATCACCATCACGCGGCCGATCATCGGCCAGGACGCGGACAAGTTTGCTAAGTGCTTCCCCCAAGGCGTCATTGGATTCGAAAAGGTCACGAAGAAGGAGGCCGCCGTTGCCGGCAGCGGATACGAG